TCCAAAAATACTTATCAGCCTGAAGTTCTGGATTACAAAAATTATTTGCATGGAAAAATAATGCACCTTATGCTTCATGAATTGTAATTCAATTATTTACGTGGAAAGACTCGCGCATATTGCCTTAAGTTAAGCTGGGGAAAAAACCCCAAGGAATTCAAGGTGGAATGAAACCTTAAATTTGAAGGAATTCCGTACATCTTTATCCCTAAATGAGGTTGATGGGTGGAAGTAACCCACTGTTTGGTTCCCTGTTTTTGAGGGAAATGCTCTCTTGAAAGCCTACCAAAAATACCAAAAATGTCACTTTTTGGCAGGCTTTCAGTCAAAATCTTCTTTTTTAGAGACGATTTTTGGTGAAAGCCTGCCAAAAAGTGACACTTTTGACACTTTTGACAGGCTTTCAAGAAAGCTTTTCCCTCAAAAACAGGGAACCAAACAGCCCCTTAATATGCACAGAAAGTCAGTTTTGTGCAAGATAATATTAATTTTACGTGGATATTAACCGAATTTGTTTTTGTATATCGGTTGGGCAAAGTAGTTTTCATTTGGATAAATGGTATGTACTTGTAGAATAGGAAGGAAATCAAGAAAATATTTAATAGAAAAGAATAACATAAATTAATCTATTTCTCGTTCAACGTTTAATCATAAGGGACAAGCAGCAACCGCTCTGTAGAAGAAACAGCCGAAATAACAGAAGCAGAAAGAAACAATAATCTAGCAGGTCGGTCGACCGCGGATACTAGTGCGGTCGACCGCGGGCTATGTGTCTACAAGCGGAAAAGTCAGGACTCTGGTCGGTCGACCGCAGACGCATGTGCGGTCGACCGAAAATGTGCACGAGCTCAAGTCTACAGTCAGTGCTCTGGCCGGTCGACTACGGCTTCATGTGTGGTCGACCGCGACGCGATCAGAAGCCCAGTTCGTTTCTTTCCTAATATGTTTGGGTTTGTTATTTGGTATAAATACAAGTTGTTTTTTCTAGGGTTTTTTAAGGGTGTTCTAAACGAATTTGAGAGAGATCTTGAGAGAGAGAAAGATAGTTTGCTTGGAGCTATTGTACAAGAGGGAGATTGTTCTTTCTTGAGTAAAGATCGTAGCTTTAACTCTTTGGGACGAGCTTGTGGATTATACAAGTCGTCAGGTGTTTCTCCTTCATATTGGAATCCCTCTACACACCTCTGTGGACGTAGGCAAATTTGCCGAACCACGTAAATTCTGCGTCTCGTCTACTTTACTTTTGTTTTGTTATTACGCTATTGCTTGATTTGGTTTGGTTTGAGTTTTGTGTAAACTTAAGCTAGGTTTTCTCTCCAGGTTACTCGCTTCCGCAACATGTGGGCGGTTCTTTCTGTCCCAACACGCTCCTAACCAGAAAATTAATGAAAAGAGGGTAAACTTACAATCAGTATCGAAGACTTGTACACGTAGAATAAGCATAGTCAGTGAAATGTACAATTTGACTGAGGAGATGGCATTAATTAACGAATAGACAATTTTGAAGGACGTCTAGCGTCATTTGCTGAGCTAAAGTACTGAAGACTGTATTAAAACAAGGGAAAAATGCTTCCAGCCCCCAAAAACCAAGAAAACGTGCTTCCCACCCTCAAGACTTTGTCAACGGGTGTTTTACCCCCAAAAATAAAGATTCTGTTCTCTGAGCCCCCAAAACACAAAAGCTAAGAGATTAAAATATGTGAAGACCATAATACCCTTCTCTCTCTCTCTCTTTCTTTTTTTATTAAAATATGATGAGGATTATTTTATTATTTTCGTTTTCTCTCTCTCTTTATCATGATGTACTGAGATGATAGTTGAAATGATTGATGATGATTATTTTATTATTTTTATTTTTTATTATTTTTGTTGTTTGTATTAGAAGATTGTTAAAGCTACGGGTTAATTGTTAAGGTTACGAGTTACTTGTTAATGTTAGGGGTCAATTGTTAAGGTTATGAATCCTCTCTCTCTCTCTCTCTCTCTCTCTCTCTCTATCATGATGTTACTTTGATGATATTAAAATGATTGAAGAGGATTATTATTTTATTATTTTTGTTATTTATTCTTTTCGTATTTTTAGAATATTCGTTGTTAAGGATAATGGTTGGTTGTAAAGGTTATGCATTGATTGTTAAGGTTACGGGTTGGTTGTTAAGGTTACGGGTTTGTTGTTAAGGTTATGAGTTTGTTGCGTAGGTTACAGATTTATTGTTAAGGTTACGTGTTTAATTGTTAAGTTTACATGTTTAATTGTTAAGGTTACGTGTTTAATTGTTAAGGTTACGGTTTTAATTGTTAAGGTTACGGTTTAATTGTTAAGGTTATGGGTTTAATTGTTAAGGTTACAGATTTAATTGTTAAGGTTACGAGTTTAATTGTTAAGGTTACGGTTTAATTGTTATGGTCACGGGTTTAATTGTTAAGGTTACGGTTTAATTGTTAAGGTTACGGGTCAATTGTTAAGGTTACGAGTTTAATTATTAAGGTTACGGGTTTAATTGTTAAGGTTACGGGTCAATTGTTAAGGTTACGAATTTAATTGTTAAGGTTACGGGTTTAATTGTTAAAGTTACGGGTTAATTGTTAAGGTTACAGGTCAATTGTTAAGGTTACTGGTTTAATTATTAAGGTTACAGGTTTAATTGTTAAGGTTACGGGTCAATTGTTAAGGTTATGGATCCCTTCTCTCTTTCTCTCTCGTAACATTAACAATTAAACCTGTAACCTTAACAATTAAACATGTAACCTTAACAATTAAACCTGTAACCTTAATAACCGTAACCGTAACAATTAAACCCATAACCTTAACAATTAAACACGTAACCTTAACAATTAAACTCGTAACCTTAACAATTAAACCCGTAACATTAACAATAAATCTGTTACCTACACAACAAACCCATAATCTTAACAACAAACCCGTAACCTTAACAACCAAACCGTAACCTTAACAATCAATGCATAACCTTTACAACCAACTATTATCCTTAACAACGAATATTCTAAAAATACGAAAAGAATAAAAAACAAAAATAATAAAATAATAATCCTCTTCAATCATTTCAATATCATCAAAGTAACATCATGATAGAGAGAGAGAGAGAGAGAGAGAGAGAGAGAGAGAGAGGATTCATAACCTTAACAATTAACCTGTAACATTAATAATTAACTCGTAACCTTAACAATTAACTCGTAACTTTAACAATCTCCCAATACAAATAACGAAAATAATAAAAAAATAAAAATAATAAAATTATCATCATCAATCATTTCAACTACCATCTTAGTACATCATGATAAAGAGAGAGAAAATAAAAATAATAAAATAATCCTCATTATATTTTAATAAAATAAGAAAGAAAGAGATAAGGGTATTATAGTCTTCACATATTTTAATCTCTTGGGTTTTGTGTTTTGGGGGCTCAGAGAACAGAATCTTTATTTTTGGGGGTAAAACACTCGTTGACAAAGTCTTGGGGGTGGAAAGCACGTTTTCTTGGCTTTTGGGGGCTGAAAGCATTTTTCCCTTAAAACAATTCCCTTTTATAGATACTAGCATATCTGCATGCATGTGTAATTAACATTAGATTTCAATGTAAATTTTATTATAGTTTGACTCAAATACTCAAATTCATATTGCTTTGGGAGTTTTTTTTAGGTTGGTTTGCTTTGATCAATAGTCCTACTTATATTAGACTTTACACAACCAATCATATTAGATGTTTATTCCTACTTGGACTCTTGTTGGGTTTTAGAACATGTGGACTTCTATTCTTATTAGAACTCTTATTCCTTAGGCATCAAGGAGCTGGGATCTTCAATGCTATATAAGAACATTCTTTCAAGCCAATAATTATCATCGATTTTTAGAGCACCAATCAAGAAGAGAGAGTTCTTTTGTGAAGCCTATTTGATATTCTTCACTTTTGCTCCTTCAGTTAAGAGTACATTGTATTAGGTTTTTGGGGTGTGATTTAGGATTGAGAGATTTCACTTTGTATTCCTCACAATTAGTAAAGCTTTTCTCCTCATTCGCCCGTGGACGTAGACTACAAGCCAAACCACGTATATCTTTGTGTTCGTGTGTTCTTGATATTTTTCGTGCAATCGTGTGATTGATATTAGCTTATCCTGGGGAGTTTGTCATAACAAATTTTATCGTCCTGCGTGTTACTTATTATGATGATTTATATATGAGTACTTATAACTAGCATTGTTGCACGTGCAAAAGACATAAATTTATTTTAAAATAAATTTTATTATGTTAGAAAAAATAAATTTTTTAATCCTTTATTTTTTTGGTCAATGAAGTAATTTTATTCATTTACCAAATTGAAAAAGTTTTGAACATCAAGATCTCTTCAGAGAGAAAACAAACAAAAAACTTCTAACAACAATTCTATCTAACTTTTACAAAGAGAAAATCCAATCTCTATTTTTAAATGAAAAAGGATTGTTCATGTAAATGGTTAAGATATCAATTTTGATATTCCGAACCACTTGAACTGTGCTTCTTGTCTTCTGCTGAAAGAATCTAAGATTCCTCTCCCTCCAGATGCTGTATATTGTCGTCGATATTGCCATCCTCTTCATATTCTGTTTGAAACCATTGCCTCTCAACTTGGTATTAAACTAGTCCATCAGTGTATTCCACTCACAGGCTTGCCATTCAAACTTGAGCCAGTCCATAATAGTTAACCACACTTCTCTTGAGTAAGAACAGGTAAAAAACAGGTGATTCCTGCCTTCCATTGTAGTCGAACACAGATAACATGTATTTGTGTTAATAATACCTCTGTTCATCAATCTATCTTGAGTAAGAAGTCTGTTCAGAGACGCAAGCCAAAACACAAATGCATGCTTCGGGTAGTTCATATTTCCCCACACTGTACTGAACCAGGTCACACTCTGAGTCATTGGAGAGAATTTTTCATAAACTGCAGACAGCTAAATTTTAGATTTCTTATAGCAAGAACTCAGTATTTGTATCAAGTTATCTACTCCTCCCAAAACAACCAGAGCTTTATTCCTGATTTTGATAAGTTGTTTCCAACACCACGAGTCCCCTGTTATTGCATTAACATGCCAGATATCTGAATGTTTTAAGTAGTTTCCATGATCCATTTTACCCACAGCACTTCCTTATTGATATGAATATACTATAAGCTTCTTAAAGCTGATGCCAAGTTCCAAATAGAAGCAGAGAATACACCCAAGCCACCTTGTCTTTTTTCGCTGCAAATTTTATCCCATGATACCAACGGAGTTCTAAAATAATTTTCAGATTTACCCCATAAGAACTTCCTACACAACTCATCGATCATCAGGGATACTCTAACAAGAAGTATGAAATTTAATGTCCAAAAGTTTTGAACCCCAATAATCACACTTTTAATCACCTGAATTCTCCCTGCATAGGATAGGTTATTATGCTTTAACCACTTTTGAAACTGGCTTGATATTTTTTCAATAAGAGGATTACAATCCTCACTTGTAAGCCTTTTATAGTTCAGAGGTACACCCAGATATCTGAAAGGAATAGTGCCTTCGGTGAATCCCAGGAAACTGTGAATAGCCACTTTGACAGAATCATTCACCCTACCATAGTATACAGAACATTTATCCATATTAGCTTCCAAACCAGTGATCTCACTGAAATCTTTAATTCATTGATATAGTTTTTGAACTGAATTCAAGTCCCCTTTGGCAAAGAGAAGCAGATCATCCGCAAAAATAAGATGTGAAATTTTAAGCTTATTACACTTTGGATGATATCTGAATAATTTGTCACTTTTTAAAAGGTCCAATTTTCTCGACAAGTACTCCATGCCCAAAATGAATAGGTATGGGGATAGGGGATCCCCCTGCCTTAACCCTCTCCTTCCTTCAAAATATCCATGAAGTGTACCACTAAGAGAAATAGAGTACTTAGGGGAAGATATGCAAGCCATTATCCATTTAATCATTACTGTAGGAAACCCCAGCCCTTGAAGCATTTCTTTCAAAAAGTCCCAATTGTTTGTATCAAAAGCTTTTCTAATATCAATATTCATCATGATTCGTGGTGAGATGTTCTTCCTGGTATAATTCTGTATCAAAAGCTTTTCTAATATCAATATTCATCATGATTCGTGGTGAGATGTTCTTCCTGGTATAATTCTTGGCAAGCTCATGAGCCAAGGAAATGTTTCATCATGATTCGTGGTGAGATGTTCTTCCTGGTATAATTCTTGGCAAGCTCATGAGCCAAGGAAATGTTCTAGTAATTTGTCTTCCCTTGACAAAGGCCCTTTGGGCCTCATTCACAATGTACCCCATAATTGGTTTAATTCTATATGCTAAAATCTTGGACATGAATTTATAAAGGCAGTTGTAGCAAGATATAGGTCTGAAATCAGAGGGTGATTTAGGAAATTGTATCTTTGGTATTAGAGTGATGGAAGTAGAGTTGACCATTCCTAACATTTTCCCATTCTTGAAGAAGTCTAGAATAGCTGATGATACCTCATCCCCAATCACAGGCCAAGCTGATTTGTAGAATGCTATACCCTATATCCATCAGGGCCTGGAGCCTTGTTATCATCCATTGAGAAGATAGCATTCTTTATTTCTTCTTTCGAAACTGGTCTAGAAAGGAAATTAGCTTGTGATTCAGATAAGCATGACCCAACTTGAATGACATGGATGTCAGGTGAAAGAGTGACTGTGGATGTCCCCATCAAGCCTTTGTAGTAAGACACCAGTTCATTGGTAATCTCTTCTTAATCAGTTATTCTTTGTCCCAAATTATTATAGAGCACCAACACTTTATTATGATGTCTATTATATTTTATACTTGAATGGAAAAAATTAGTGCACCTATCCCCTTGAACACTCCATTTAATCCTAGCTTTTTGCTAGAAAAAAGAAAGCTCACAATCCTGAAGCTTGTTGAATTTAGCAATACACTCTGGATTGAGAGGGCTGATCTAGAGGTTTCCTTGAGCTTCATCAAGTGCAAACTTAGCTCTTTGAACTTGCTCACTGATATTGTAATAATGCTTCTTGTTAATGTCTTTAAGAGCTCCTCTTAGTTGCTTAAGCTTCATGCAAACTGAGTACATTTTATACTCATCAATTTTTGTTTGCCAAATTGTAGTAACAACTAGAAGGAAGCTATCATGCTTTGTCCACATATTAAAGAATTTGAATGGTTTCTTCCCACCTGGACACTCATCATAAAAATATACCAAAGCAGGGAAGTGATCAGAAAATCTAGGGAGTAAGAATTCAACCTGACTAGAAGTATACAAGTGAATCCAAGCATCATTCACCAGAGCCATGTCCAATCTACTCCACACTCTTGAGTCTTGATCTTGTTTGTTATTCCAAGTATAAAAGCAACCAGTTGTTTTTAGATGATTTAAGTTGCAGTCTTTAATACAATCTCTAAAATCCTTTGTGTCAGCTTCAGAAAGAATTGATCCACCAAACTTTTCATCATTACTGATAACAGTGTTGAAATCACCACATAAAAGCCAAGGTTCATTTATAGTGGAGAGTTGTAGCATCTTCAATTCCAGCCACAAATCCTTTCTTGCTTGCATTTGGTTTAAACCATATATTGAAGTAATAACACATTTCATTCTCTCATCCAAGGATTGTACTTTGCAGGTGATACTTTGATCTGATATCTTGTTAACTTGAATGTCAAGAATATTTGGATTCCACATAATCCATATCCTAGCTTTTCCATGATTAGTGACATTAGATAGCCAGTTCCAGTTTTTTGCAATTTTCTTTGCTACATCCTTCAATCTGCTTTCTCTAATCTTTGTTTCGAGCAAAGCAATGTAGGACAGATGATACTGAGATAAGAACAACTTTATTAAATGCTGTTTAGATGATTTATTTAATCCTCTTACATTCCAGAATGATATATTCATTATTGACCACCTCCTCTATCCAATGTAGAGGGATCAATATCCAATATATCTAAGTATGAAAAAGAATTAGTAGGGATAGTGGACTTAATGTGTTTGCCTTTTTGAACATGTACCCATGAGCTATTTGTCATGCACAACAACATGCACAGACTTGTGCATAGACCGCTGTCCAGATTCAACTGCAGAAGCTTGCAAATCTTCATTCACATGTTCACCTACTATTGTCTGTTTTAGGACATCATTGACCTGTTTCAAGTGATGAGTACACCCTTCATATCCAACAGCCTGCTGATCTAAATTTATTTCAGATTGTAATTTTTTAAGTTCATTTTCTGTAGGCTGAATTTGCACATTTTTAACCTGATCTTCCTGTCTATCAACATTCAGCTTCTGTATATGAGAATCAGGTATTACATTAGCTCTCTCCTTCTCAACATTTCCAGATGTAGGATTTTTCTTAGGAATCCATCTTTGTGCTTTCACTTGTCTCCTGTAGGATTGTGTATCATGCCCTACTAGCTTGCACAAATTACACCATTTAGGCTTTAATTCATATATCACTTTCTGTATAATTTGTTTCCCTTTTGGACCTTGAATGATGATTTGATCTGGAAGAGGGGAGGGCATATTAACTTCTACTAGCACTCTTGCATATGCCAAGCGCTGCCTATTTGCTGTTAACCTATCAGTAGCTATGGGACACCCTATAGCACTAACAATCTTACTAATGCTTTTAGCATTCCACAGGTTTAGCCTCAGAGCTGGAAGTTGTATCCACATAGGATATACACAATCCCTTATTTTGTCAATTTCATCTCCATTAGACCAAGGCTTCAGCAAGAGGGGTCTTGAACCAAAGAACCAAGGTCCCTTACACAAAATCTCATTCATGTCTTCTTTTTCTTTGAATTTAAACAGAAAAATTCCATGTTTTAGAAGGCAAACTTCCGGCATCAAATGTTTCCAGACTTTTTGCACATAGGCTTCCATGGCCTTGAATTTGACATTCAGACCTAAAACTTGACCAATTAGAGAAGATTGCCAAACTGAGATATCCTCATTCCATTCCTCATCATCAAAAGTTACTATATCCTTGTTTTCAATGGGAACATAGTTCAAATTCATTCCACTTCCAAGTTTCCTATTATCAGCAAACAGGCTAACCCAGCTTTTTCCTATTTTTTCCTCTGTTTCATTTTTTTTTATGATTCTATCGGGGGCATTTCATTATCTTCTTTGGATTTCACTCCAGACAATACACTGGATTCCAAATTTTCTCTGCTTAACACTTTATTATTTCTCTTTTCTGCATTCAATGTAACAGTAACATTCTCATTAACCAGAATCAATTTTCCCCTGAATCATTTATCGATTTCTGAATCTCATGATTTAAAGAAGAGTTTATAGAATCTTTACCATAATCCATCTCATCTACCCATGATACCCTAGTAGATCTACTAGAACCAGGAGTGGGAAGACAATCTAATACAAGCTGATCTTCTGGATCTCCTGATAATCGATCTACACACACTTGATCTTGCACATGAATGACAGAACTCAAAATTTCCGCCATAGATCTAGACTTCTTCCCCCCTTTTGGATCAGTTGATCCTATTTCAATGAAAAATTCATCATCTTCTTCACTCCGAGCTTCAGGTTGATCCTCTAAAGTAGCCGAATTCATCATAGATGCTCTCAATCCGATCTCCAGGATTTTTTCCCCACTAATTTTCTTATTTTTAGCCATCAAGAACTCAAAAATCTCTGCGGGGGAGCAGGATAGCAGCAAAAAATCACATGCTATCCTGCACCATTCAGGCCGCCCTTTTAACTCCTTAGCTTATTTTATTTTTAATCCTCTATTACTATTAGTTATATGATTTTTTTTTGTTTCATTATAGAATAAAATGCATGATCGGTGATACACATGATAAAATAATATAAATATATATTTTCATGTGATTTGCATAGTGAGAAAAGTAAATAAACAAAAGGAGAAATAAAATTTCATGAATAATTTTAATATTTTTTGTGTAATCCTTAAATTTAATATGTTGTAGTGCTTCAATTATTGAGTAATAGTCTCTACTTAGTAAGACAAGTGTCCTGCATTAGCTGTCTAATTAGATCAATTCACCACTTCGAGACAACCAAAATCCCTAGGTCGGACTTCAAAGGGTGGACATCTTGTGAATTAGTAGGAAATGACATGCTTATCTTTTTATTTTAACAAAATGAGATACAATTCTTTAGGCTCCATTTGGCGAAGAGTCACAGAAGAATAATTAGGAAGAAAGATTAACATAGTTAGTCTATTTGATAACTCGAAGAACTAAATTATATTAACCTGTAAAATAAGTTTCATTTTAGCTCTTGTGATTAGTTTTAGTGTCTGGGTATAACGAGGATTTAGACTTTTTTCATAAACAGAGGGGTTAGCTTAACCCTTACAGTTTTTATGTTTGGCAAAGTATAAAAGGTTAACCCACCCTTGTATTAATTGTTTGTATTTGATAAGTTAAGAAACGATTAAGTCTCTTTGATCCCTCACGTAAATAGCCACCAAGTGGCACCTTAGGGGATTGAAGGAAATAAATGGCATTCCTTGATTTAGCATTACCCTCACTATAATTCATATATATACTTATCTTATAAACATGATGAGGATAACCTACGTACTACCAATGTTCGGGGAAAAGGTGGAAATGAAAATTAAGTCTATTCAAAACAATAAAACTATATTGTTAAGTTATGATAAAATAGATTTTGATGTTGTTGTTATTGATGATGATAGAATGATAGAATAGATTTTTTTTTTGGGTTGAAAATTAAACAGTTAATTATTTATAGAGTACGTAGCATGCATATACATTCTTGTTACGGAGCTTATAATAATGTGATCACAGAAGCTTCATTACTTGTTTGGTTTGAAAGATCCATTAGCGGACATGACATAATCACTACTTTATAATGACATGACTTACCTTTGTAATTGTTAATGATTTACTGATGATAATATTGTAAATTGTTCGTGTATGTATATGATGTCATTATGACGTTCAATCTCATCTCAGACAATTGTAAAAAGTTAGTAGTCGCTATCTAAAATCCAAACATGCATTTTTCTTTTTTTTTTCTTTCTCTAAACTTTGACAATCCCATATCAACCGAGCTGACCGAACCATATTTTCATCTTGTTTTTAACGTTGAACTAATTAAAGACAGTATTTTTAATTACTATTTGCTCCAAAACAAAATTACTACAGAAAAAAGGAGGAAATAAAAATTACATTTGCCCCAAAACAATTAAACTTCATTGTAGTTATGATAGAAATATTATTTTCTTTTCTTTTCTTTCCTTTTTTTTTCGATAGAATGATAGCATACATTTTTTTTGTTGAAAGTTAGGGGGTGTTTGGTTACATTTCTATAAATTATAGGAAATGTTTTCCATCTAAAATTTGATTTCCTTGTATTTCTTAAAAAAATTATAGAAAAAGTTTTAAGAAGTTAAAAAGTACAAATTTTCTTATTTTTTGTATTGTGCTTGTTTGGTTCAAAACAAGAAAATGACTCATAACTTTTGGGAAAATAGCAACATTTCCTATAATTTATAGAAATGTAACCAAACACCACCAACTTTATAGAAAAGTGAGAACTTTAAAGAAAAGTGTTAATGAGTTTTATTATTTAAATAATAAATGCGTTAGATTTCCAAGAGATTCCCGCCCATTTTAGAAGGAAATCAATTTCTATAAATTTTGGTACTTTTTTATACTTTACAGAAAACATTTCTGTAAATCTTTTTTGAGCCAAACAAAGTTTGTGGAAATCTATAGAAAACTCTTAATTACAAAAATACCATTGTTTGTACTTTTTGAGAAAACATTTCTCAAAAACAATGCAACCAAACACCCCCTTAAACAATATGTTAACTACAATTAATTATCTATAACAACAGATACATTCTTGTTACGGAACTTATAATAAAATGGTCACGGAAGCTTGACTGCTTGTTAAGTTTGAAGATCCACATAGCGGACATGACATAATCACTATTCTATATTGACATGACTCACGATGGGTCTTGGAGTTCGCTGGCGATGGGTGGTCGCGGAGCTCGGAGTTGGCGTGGGTTCAGGCCCGGTCCTGGGCTAAGGCAGGGGGGGCAACCGCATAGGGCCCCCGCTGAAAAGGGGCCCCCAAATTTTTAAAATCGTAGTATAGTCTTTTAAGTTTTCTGGCCCAAGAGATTATTAGTCCAACAACTAATCCATTTCCTTATAGATAGTCCAATAAGCTGATCCATTTTATTACTCCTTACTCCTTATACATCAACCATATCACATAGATTACAATTATTAGCATCAATGCATCATTTACATAGAAAACCCAAGCGGCAAGGAAAGCATTGATGAAAGCGGCACTTTCGGCGGCAATTCCAAATTGACATTATACATCTCTTCAATCAAAGGTAATCTATTAAAATCCTTTGCTTTTTTCTTGTAACAAACGAGCACAATTAAAGATTTAGCCGTTTGATAATAATTAAATTTACTCCTTAATTCATTATAAAAAGGAATCAATATAAGTTTTGTTCAATTAAAATTATATTCTGAAAGAGGCAAACAGTGATTAAGTGATGCATTGCAATAATCTTCTTGATCATTTGAGCAATTGGGCATTTTCATAATCAGGTGCTATTATTCCTTTTTCCCCTTTTAAGCTGCAAATTACATGTATTGTTGTGTTTTAATTTTTATAGAATTGTTTAGCTACTTTTTGAAATGTCGCCTCGGAAATACTTGTCTGGATATGAAAAAAGGAAAAAGAAAAAAACAAGTAGATGAACTAGTTGAATCACAAAAAGGAGCTATTGACAAATTTTTCTCTAAAAGCTCAAGTATTCCTGTTGTTAGTGAACAATCAAATGGAGCTTTAAGTGATGAAAATATTGTTTCAAGTGAATTCAATAATGAAAATGTTTTGCCTAGTGAAAC